CCAACGCAGCCTGGGTGAAATGTGAAATGTGAAATGTGAAAAGTCCACTGGCATCCTGTGCGACCGACGGTGCTCGAGAACGCTCAAGGGCAAGGTGTACCGGGCGGTGGTAAGGCCTACAATGCTCTACGGCAGTGAGTGCTGGCCCATCTGCAAGAACCATGAAAGGCAGCTCCACTCAGCTGAAATGAGGATGCTGAGATGGGCCTGCGGCTGGACACGACTCGACAGAGTCAGAAACGAGGGGCGGTCACACAGACGGCTCCGATCCAGCTGAAGGCACGAGAGCAGCGACTGCGATGGTATGGGCATGTACTGAGGAGCCAATAAGGACACTGGAACTCGAGGTAGAGGGCAAGCGACCACGAGGAGCCCCAAAGAAAAGATGGAGGGACGTCATCAAGAGGGACCTCACTGAAGTGAAAGCCACAGCAGAAGATGCAGTGGATCGGAACAAGTGGCGACGTCTAACAAGAACAGCGGACCCTGCGACGGCGCGGGACTAACGCTAGGGAGAAGAAGAAGAAGATATAGTTCGGCTTGTTCTTTGATGCAGCGTGGGTTTGATCCTGAATTAAGGCGTATGCCTTCGCAACGTGTGTCTATGCTGTACACAGTGCTCACTCAGCTTTTTTCGAAAGGGGGGGGGGACTTCTTGTTCATCTGCAGCCATTTTCGCTTGACACGCTAGAGCGTCAATGAGAGCTGATTCCGAAGATCGCTGGGGAAACCGGGCTGGTACCGCGCCAAAGCCAGTCTCCGACACGTCATAGCGTTTATACGAAAGCGGCTGTGGATTATAAAGCAGAATAGGCAAAACATTCGCAGCCTCCAGCTAGTGAACGTTCTGCGTTTTCGGCAGTCGTCATAGGTCTTTGGAGTTGAAGGACGTTCTGCAATCACTCATAAAAAGCGAAGCCTGATGTCCAGTGAAGAAGGCTAATGTGGGTCGCAGTGAACAACACTGTTCAAGTTCCGCATCAGAAGTTGTGAGGTAGGGGCGCTAAGGCGCAACGTTGTTCAAGTGACTCCGCCCAGTTTCAAGTGACTCCGCCCAGTAAGTGTCCTATGCGTCGCTTTTCTCTCTCGCAGCTCTCTTGGCGCTCTTTTCTGGCCTTCCCTAAAATCCCATGGGGTCTTCGCTTTTCGCTCAGAGAGAGATTCCGATTTTGGAGATCAGCAGAGGTTTCTCCTGCTATCTTCCTCACGGACACGTCAACTGGCGGGTACAGTTCTGTTTCCCAAACACGCGACCTACGAACTTTCGGCGGCCTTTAGCAGAACCTCCCTTTAGATTCGAAGTCTACTATGGTGCGGGTGGCCCTCGTAGTTGCCCCATTCACGCCTCTTCCCTTTACTGCCATAGAATCGGAGGCACACCAACCTGAATGACGCTAATGGCTGACTATCTCCACCCGTACGATCATCGCCGACATTGTCTCTGAAGACTTGTTTGGATAAGAAGCTCAACGAGCGAACTTGTGATGTGCTGTGATCATAACAGTTTTTTTTTCAGCGCTCCTTCCAGCAGAGCCACAGTCAAGCCGCAAACTCCGCCACAAATTTTTGCTTCGGAAGTGTCGGTCTTAGAGAATCAAGTAAGAATTCATTGGTTTTGTTCTGCATGCTTATGCAGAAGGACTGAGAGAATTACCTGGTAGTACATTATATTAGATTGCTCAGCTCAATCTGGGTTTGGGTAAATCCGAAGATTTGTCCGCCGAATTGGATCAGATTGTTCCGCCCTTCAATGAAAACGACATCAACGCAATTGCTAGTAAGCTTCGAGTTCTTCAGACAATCTTTGGCATTATGCCAAAATGTCTGATGCTCTCTTTCAGCATTTTTGTCCTCATCTCGTATATTTTTTTTACCAGGAGACAAATTTTCTAATCCACGGGATTGGCGGCTTGATGACCGGACGATCAACGACACGGACATATTACCAGAGCGTCAAGTAGCGTGCTCTAATGCTACTATAATCGCGGTGAGCCCAATAGTTCTATTTATGTAATACACTCATTGTCCTGAAGAAGTTCAGACCAAATGCCTATTTTGACCAAATTACAAAAATTGCTGATAAAATAGATAACTTCTGTAGAAAAGCGTGAACTTGGAAGTCCAAGTAACAGAACATTTCAGACGCAGCGGAAGTGCTCGTGGTCCGGTGTAGAACATCTGCTTGTCGTGTGGTCGTTTGCCTCCTTATTGGTATGGATTGTGATGATTGGAGTGTGCTTTTATCGGCAAGCTAATAAACCTGCGTGGGTGGAATTCAGGTAAATCCAGTGTATTTTTTTCCTTTCCTCAGACTAGAGGGATCACATGTATAGTCGTGATCCCCGCAAACGACAGGGCGTGTGAAGGGGCGTGAGTTGGAGCGCAGTCAGAACAGCCTCAGAACAGCCTTTTCTGCCAATTTTTGTGTACTCAGGATAACATCACTGGTGGAAAGGCCGCCTTGGTAGCGCTCCAACCCACACCCCTCAGATTCCCTATCGTTTCCAGGAATCACGTCTGTATCTTCAGTTATTTATACATTTTGCGTACAGCTAAGGCATAATCATACTCTATATATAAAGCAGAAGTTGTCTGTCCGTTTGTCGGACCAATAGGAGAATAGGCTCCGCCCACAATGGGCGGGGCCTATATTCAGCTGAGCGGTGTCCCTTGAAAACGTCAACAAAACACTTAAACGCCGTCAACTTTGGGATGGGGGGTGAGGGCATGTTGAAATAGCATGTCGGAAATATACCGAATACACACAAACAAGCCTCGCACACGATAGACGGGGCGTGCACCGAAGTGAGTAGTGCCAACGACAAAAATTCGTAAATTCCTCCTGAAGATCACAGGGAGCGGGGACAAAATCATTCTCTATGCACCACGTTAGACTACACCCACAATGGGCGTGGGGGCATACCCGAAGTGAGCGGGGCGTTTGTTCGGGCGGGCGGGGCCTAACGCAAATCTTCAAAATTCAGACCCGGAACTGCTCGGCAGCGGGAAAACGGACTCGAGTAAAAAGTGGGCAGGTAGATAAACAGAAGGAGGCACATCCGAACTGGGCGTTGGAAAGAGCCCGGCAGATTGCAGTAAGCGGGCGTTTGTCTGGGTAGGCGGGGACCAAGTAAAAATTTCGAAGTTCGAACCCGGAACTACCCGAGCAGCGGGAAAACGGCGGAGTGAGAAGTCGGTCGAGGTTGAATGGAAGAAGGCATACTTGAAATGGACGTGTGAAGTAAAAATCACTCTCTCCATCAGTATTCTTGGTAATAACATGGTTGTGTTATCATACGATTCACGACATTGTATACAATGCAGATGCTGACCCTGTGAACATTGGGCAGATGAGCAGTTGCTACGCTAGAACTTAAAGCATTTTTGCGAGCAGTGTTTGGATGAACCCGCTCTGTGATCGACTCGCATTTTGTTACAGAAAATTCGAGTGGGCTGCATTCTATGGGGGGGGGGGGGCGAGGGACGGGTAATATAGGTGAAGAGACACCCCAGCGAATGAGATGTGCGCCGAGTCGGCGGCGCCTGCTGCAAAAGTTCATAATATAGTCGCAAGGCAAGTGAGAGTAGCAGTGAATATGAGGTCATAATCGAAAATTCATAACCTACTACCAATTTTTAGCATGTATTTATTTGTTTATTTACCTGCTATTCATTCTACACCAACTCAAATACCCATATACTTCCACTTCAGTTCATCCACTAAGCATCCAGTACCGGCATTCCACCCCTCTCCTTTACGAAAATTTCACAACCGTCCACTAGGGGGGGTATATACCAAATGTGAAACGGTAATGTTCTGGAATTGCAAAAAAAAATTTTCTGTAGCGAAGCGATCCGACTGGGCCTCAGTTTGGATGGCCGGGGACCCACTTCACACGCATAAGGAGGATCGCCCGCCGAAGGCGGGCGATCCGACTGGCCTCAGTTTGGATGGCCGGGGACCCACTTCACACGCATAAGGAGGTCAAGGGCAGCGGTGGGACACGGCATAGTTGGCTGGATGGGGCCGACGTTCACGGCAGTTGCGGCAATTGCTACGGGCAGAGCCGGGTTGCGGCAATGGTTAAGGGCAACGGTGGGAAGTTGGCTGGATGGAGCCGACGTTCACGGCAGTTGCGGCAGTTGCTACGGGCAGAGCCGGGTTGCGGCAATGGTTAAGGGCAGCGGTGGGACACGCCATAGTTGGCTGGATGGGGCCGACGTTCACGGCAGTTGCGGCAATTGCTACGGGCAGAGCCGGGTTGCGGCAATGGTTAAGGGCAGCGGTGGGACACGCCATAGTTGGCTGGATGGGGCCGACGTTCACGGCAGTTGCGGCAATTGCTACGGGCAGAGCCGGGTTGCGGCAATGGTTAAGGGCAACGGTGGGGAAGATGGCTGGATGGGGGCCGACGTTCACGGCAGTTGCGGCGGTTGTTACGGGCAGAGCCGGGTTGCGGCAATGGTCAAGGGCAGCGGTGGGACACGCCATAGTTGGCTGGATGGGGCCGACGTTCACGGCAGTTGCGGCGGTTGTTACGGGCAGAGCCGGGTTGCGGCAATGGTTAAGGGCAGCGGTGGGACACGGCATAGTTGGCTGGATGGGGCCGACGTTCACGGCAGTTGCGGCGGTTGTTACGGGCAGAGCCGGGTTGCGGCAATGGTTAAGGGCAGCGGTGGGACACGCCATAGTTGGCTGGATGGGGCCGACGTTCACGGCAGTTGCGGCAATTGCTACGGGCAGAGCCGGGTTGCGGCAATGGTTAAGGGCAACGGTGGGAAGTTGGCTGGATGGGGCCGACGTTCACGGCAGTTGCGGCGGTTGTTACGGGCAGAGCCGGGTTGTGCGGCCCAATGGTCAAAGTGGCTCGCGGGGGACCGCCATGAGTTGCGCTTGGATAGGGACGCCAGCGACGTTTCACGGCAGTTGCGGCGGTTGTTACGGGCAGAGCCGGGTTGCGGCAATGGTTAAGGGCAGCGGTGGGACACGCCATAGTTGGCTGGATGGGGCCGACGTTCACGGCAGTTGCGGCAATTGCTACGGGCAGAGCCGGGTTGCGGCAATGGTTAAGGGCAACGGTGGGAAGTTGGCTGGATGGAGCCGACGTTCACGGCAGTTGCGGCGGTTGTTACGGGCAGAGCCGGGTTGCGGCAATGGTCAAGGGCTGCGCCGGGATCACGGCATAGTTGGCTGGATGGGGCCGACGTTCACGGCAGTTGCGGCAGTTGTTACGGGCAGAGCCGGGTTGCGGCAATGGTTAAGGGCTGCGCCGGGATCACGGCATATTTGGCTGGATGGGGCCGGGTTGCGGCTCTGCCCGTAGCAACTGCCGCAACTGCCGTGAACGTCGGCTCCATCCAGCCAACTTCCCACCGTTGCCCTTAACCATTGCCGCAACCCGGCTCTGCCCGTAGCAATTGCCGCAACTGCCGTGAAACGTCGGCCCCATCCAGCCAACTATGGCGTGTCCCACCGCTGCCCTTAACCATTGCCGCAACCCGGCTCTGCCCGTAGCAATTGCCGCAACTGCCGTGAACGTCGGCCCCATCCAGCCAACTATGCCGTGATCCCGGCGCAGCCCTTAACCATTGCCGCAACCCGGCTCTGCCCGTAGCAACTGCCGCAATGGCCGCTGAACGTCGGCCCCCCATCAAGCCAACCTATGGCGTGTCCCACCGTTGCCCTTAACCATTGCCGCAACCCGGCTCTGCCCGTAACAATTGCCGCAACTGCCGTGAACGTCGGCCCCATCCAGCCAACTATGCCGTGATCCCGGCGCAGCCCTTGACCATTGCCGCAACCCGGCTCTGCCCGTAACAACCGCCGCAACTGCCGTGAACGTCGGCCCCATCCAGCCAACTATGCGTGTCCCACCGCTGCCCTTAACCATTGCCGCAACCCGGCTCTGCCCGTAACAACCGCCGCAACTGCCGTGAACGTCGGCCCCATCCAGCCAACTATGCCGTGATCCCGGCGCAGCCCTTGACCATTGCCGCAACCCGGCTCTGCCGTAAAAACCGCCGCAACTGCCGTGAACGTCGGCCCCATCCAGCCAACTATGGCGTGTCCCACCGCTGCCCTTAACCATTGCCGCAACCCGGCTCTGCCCGTAACAACCGCCGCAACTGCCGTGAACGTCGGCCCCATCCAGCCAACTATGGCGTGTCCCACCGCTGCCCTTAACCATTGCCGCAACCCGGCTCTGCCCGTAGCAATTGCCGCAACTGCCGTGAACGTCGGCCCCATCCAGCCAAACATATGCGTTAGATCCGGCGCAGCCCTTGACCATTGCCGCAACCCGGCTCTGCCCGTAACAACCGCCGCAACTGCCGTGAACGTCGGCCCCATCCAGCCAACTATGCCGTGATCCCGGCGCAGCCCTTGACCATTGCCGCAACCCGGCTCTGCCCGTAACAACCGCCGCAACTGCCGTGAACGTCGGCCCCATCCAGCCAACTATGCCGTGATCCCGGCGCAGCCCTTGACCATTGCCGCAACCCGGCTCTGCCCGTAGCAACTGCCGCAACTGCCGTGAACGTCGGCCCCATCCAGCCAACTATGCCGTGATCCCGGCGCAGCCCTTGACCATTGCCCGCAACCCGGCTTCTGCCCGTAAAACCGCCGCAACTGCCGTGAACGTCGGCCCCATCCAGCCAACTATGCCGTGATCCCGGCGCAGCCCTTGACCATTGCCGCAACCCGGCTCTGCCCGTAAAAACCGCCGCAACTGCCGTGAACGTCGGCCCCATCCAGCCAAATATGCCGTGATCCCGGCGCAGCCCTTAACCATTGCCGCAACCCGGCTCTGCCCGTAGCAACTGCCGCAACTGCCGTGAACGTCGGCTCCATCCAGCCAACTTCCCACCGTTGCCCTTAACCATTGCCGCAACCCGGCTCTGCCCGTAGCAACTGCCGCAACTGCCGTGAACGTCGGCTCCATCCAGCCAACTTCCCACCGTTGCCCTTAACCATTGCCGCAACCCGGCTCTGCCCGTAGCAATTGCCGCAACTGCCGTGAACGTCGGCCCCATCCAGCCAACTATGGCGTGTCCCACCGCTGCCCTTAACCATTGCCGCAACCCGGCTCTGCCCGTAGCAATTGCCGCAACTGCCGTGAACGTCGGCCCCATCCAGCCAACTATGGCGTGTCCCACCGCTGCCCTTAACCATTGCCGCAACCCGGCTCTGCCCGTAAAAACCGCCGCAACTGCCGTGAACGTCGGCCCCATCCAGCCAACTATGCCGTGATCCCGGCGCAGCCCTTGACCATTGCCGCAACCCGGCTCTGCCCGTAACAACCGCCGCAACTGCCGTGAACGTCGGCTCCATCCAGCCAACTTCCCACCGTTGCCCTTAACCATTGCCGCAACCCGGCTCTGCCCGTAGCAATTGCCGCAACTGCCGTGAACGTCGGCCCCATCCAGCCAACTATGGCGTGTCCCACCGCTGCCCTTAACCATTGCCGCAACCCGGCTCTGCCCGTAACAACCGCCGCAACTGCCGTGAACGTCGGCCCCATCCAGCCAACTATGCCGTGATCCCGGCGCAGCCCTTGACCATTGCCGCAACCCGGCTCTGCCCGTAACAACCGCCGCAACTGCCGTGAACGTCGGCCCCATCCAGCCAACTTCCCACCGTTGCCCTTAACCATTGCCGCAACCCGGCTCTGCCCGTAGCAATTGCCGCAACTGCCGTGAACGTCGGCCCCATCCAGCCAACTATGGCGTGTCCACCGCTGCCCTTAACCATTGCCGCAACCCGGCTCTGCCCGTAACAACCGCCGCAACTGCCGTGAACGTCGGCCCCATCCAGCCAACTATGCCGTGATCCCGGCGCAGCCCTTAACCATTGCCGCAACCCGGCTCTGCCCGTAGCAACTGCCGCAACTGCCGTGAACGTCGGCTCCATCCAGCCAACTTCCCACCGTTGCCCTTAACCATTGCCGCAACCCGGCTCTGCCCGTAACAACCGCCGCAACTGCCGTGAACGTCGGCCCCATCCAGCCAACTATGCCGTGATCCCGGCGCAGCCCTTGACCATTGCCGCAACCCGGCTCTGCCCGTAACAACCGCCGCAACTGCCGTGAACGTCGGCCCCATCCAGCCAACTATGCCGTGATCCCACCGCAGCCCTTGACCATTGCCGCAACCCGGCTCTGCCCGTAACAACCGCCGCAACTGCCGTGAACGTCGGCTCCATCCAGCCAACTTCCCACCGTTGCCCTTAACCATTGCCGCAACCCGGCTCTGCCCGTAGCAATTGCCGCAACTGCCGTGAACGTCGGCCCCATCCAGCCAACTATCGTGTCCACCGCTTGCCCTTAACCATTGCCGCAACCCGGCTCTGCCCGTAACAACCGCCGCAACTGCCGTGAACGTCGGCCCCATCCAGCCAACTATGCCGTGATCCCGGCGCAGCCCTTGACCATTGCCGCAACCCGGCTCTGCCCGTAACAACCGCCGCAACTGCCGTGAACGTCGGCTCCATCCAGCCAACTTCCCACCGTTGCCCTTAACCATTGCCGCAACCCGGCTCTGCCCGTAGCAATTGCCGCAACTGCCGTGAACGTCGGCCCCATCCAGCCAACTATGGCGTGTCCCACCGCTGCCCTTAACCATTGCCGCAACCCGGCTCTGCCCGTAACAACCGCCGCAACTGCCGTGAACGTCGGCCCCATCCAGCCAACTATGCCGTGATCCCGGCGCAGCCCTTGACCATTGCCGCAACCCGGCTCTGCCCGTAACAACCGCCGCAACTGCCGTGAACGTCGGCCCCATCCAGCCAACTATGGCGTGTCCCACCGCTGCCCTTAACCATTGCCGCAACCCGGCTCTGCCCGTAACAACTGCCGCAACTGCCGTGAACGTCGGCCCCATCCAGCCAACTATGCCGTGATCCCGGCGCAGCCCTTAACCATTGCCGCAACCCGGCTCTGCCCGTAGCAATTGCCGCAACTGCCGTGAACGTCGGCCCCATCCAGCCAACTATGGCGTGTCCCACCGCTGCCCTTAACCATTGCCGCAACCCGGCTCTGCCCGTAACAACCGCCGCAACTGCCGTGAACGTCGGCCCCATCCAGCCAACTATGCCGTGTCCCACCGCTGCCCTTGACCATTGCCGCAACCCGGCTCTGCCCGTAACAACCGCCGCAACTGCCGTGAACGTCGGCCCCATCCAGCCAACTTCCCACCGTTGCCCTTAACCATTGCCGCAACCCGGCTCTGCCCGTAACAACCGCCGCAACTGCCGTGAACGTCGGCCCCATCCAGCCAACTATGCCGTGATCCCGGCGCAGCCCTTAACCATTGCCGCAACCCGGCTCTGCCCGTAGCAATTGCCGCAACTGCCGTGAACGTCGGCCCCATCCAGCCAACTATGGGTGTCACCGCCGCCTTAAACCATTGCGCAACCCGGCTCTGCCGTAAAACCGCCGCACTGCCGTCGACGTCGCCCATCAGCCAACTATGCCGTGTCCCACCGCTGCCCTTAACCATTGCCGCAACCCGGCTCTGCCCGTAACAACCGCCGCAACTGCCGTGAACGTCGGCTCCATCCAGCCAACTTCCCACCGTTGCCCTTAACCATTGCCGCAACCCGGCTCTGCCCGTAGCAACCGCCGCAACTGCCGTGAACGTCGGCTCCATCCAGCCAACTTCCCACCGTTGCCCTTAACCATTGCCGCAACCCGG